AGCCAATAGAATGCAGTTTTAAACAAAAATATCTGAAAGAGAATCAAATCGTTCGGTACACATCCATGCTCTTCATCCATATTGTTCAGTTATTGTAATAATTTGATTCACTGGATTTTACTTTTTTCGGAAAATTTATTTTCTGTTTTGACCCGATAAACAAGCAGTTCGATGCAAAACACTGTATTTTTAGCTTACCTAGTTCCTACCTTGATTCGAGATTGGTAGGGGCCCCGAGTGGCCTAATGGTCTAAAGCACTGTCCGTTACGGACCACTGCCATCTGTTTGCCTAGGTTCGAGTCGACGATTCGGTGAATGTGGATATGTGAGAAAGTTTGCCAGTAGCTTCTCGTTGGTCGGTGGTTCTTTTCGGTGATTTCCCGGTTTCTTCCTCCACCATTAATACTGTCCGCCATGAATAGCCTATAGTGTGCTAAAAAAATGGCGTTAAGCCCAACAACAACAACGGTTCGAGATTGGTAAACAGAATGAAAACCATTGGTCATAATCAAGGTTATGCATGGCTTGCGTGTTGTAAACAACTTTTTTTTTAAATTTTAAATCTTGTAGTAAGATTTGTCTCGTACAATCGAACCCCGTATAGCCTATATGGAAATTGGCATTTTTGTTATAAAAAAAATAATTACTGCGTTGTTTTAAGTGTCCACGTGAGCCATCATCATATGATCTAAACTCGCCGGTTAAAACAGATATTTGTGTACGGTTTTTCAGTCGTAAATATAAACAGTCAGGCTCCATCTTGCTTTTGCCATTTGAGTTAATTTTTGTGTTAAAAATAATTTATTCATCCTGGAGAATACTTATTTCATCAAAAAGTCTTTAAAAGACATTTTGTGGAAATCATTTGGTTATCTAAAGTTATCTAAAATTTGCGATTACGATTATAACATAACTTACCAGGACATGACCCATAAAGGTTGCTCTCAGATCTTCATGTATAACATTGGAGAATTGATTTAATCAGATATGGATTGTAATATAAAAGCAAGTGCTGGATATAGTTTTCTAGAAGCAGTGATATATTTTCCACTGCTTGAACCAGCAACTTAAAGATCTGAGATAAGACTAACAGATGAGGTGCTAGATATAGGTCTGAAAAGTTATAGTATGTATGCCGTGGAAGAAACGTGTAATAGAAACGAGTCATTTCCTCTCTCATTATAAAAACCCCCCAAACATTACACTGAATATTGTCTAAAAATGATAATATTGCATTTCCAACGTCTCCGTACATTTTTCAACATGGATGCTGTCTGTTAAAGAGTTAACATTACATTTTCCTCGTCCCTTTAAACTTTTTCCCTATAAGAACATTTCTTCCCCAAAACACTTTTGTCTCTATAATACAATTCCCATGTTACACCTGTGGATAAATTTAACACCGGATATTCTCCTATCTGTGTCTATTGAAGTCAGCTCTAACGACGTTACTATATACTTTAGTTGAGGATAACCACTTCTAACAATATCACCATTTAAGCCAATGATAAACCTATGACCTATGTAACTATGGTTTGTTCCGCAAGTGCCGCTCCCGTGGAAATCTATGGGTGCATACATAACTTATGATTTCAGGTCTACCAAAACATTTTGGTCAAAATCCAGAGATTTTTTTTAAATCAAGAAGGATTTTATTAGCAGATCTGATATACCTGTCAAAAATTGTCTGTAAGAAGGAAGTGCCTATGAATAAATCATATCATAACTATTCGTTGTTTTAATCGTTAGTAAAAAATAAATGGCCGATTGTGTATACAGGAAATCCAAAATACATCTTTCTGGGGTGTTGGATGGTTGATGAAAATACGTTAATCCAATCAGATGTTTTTTCTCATAAACCCATGCTGTTTTAGTTTCCAGCTTTAATGCGTAATCTACATCCAAATAATTAATCACAGTCTGGAACATGAACTCCGGAGATTATTTTAAAAAAATTACCAATCCAAAAAGATCATGAGAGTTAAAAAGCCGCATATTTGTATTCCGGCTTTTACTTGGAGATTTGGTAGGCATGTGATTTGTTTTTTAAGTGCATGTTACTAGGCTGTGCTCTTAAAATAAGTAACAGAAAAGAGTGAAGACAAAAAAAAAGCTTTGTAAAATTTAACAAATAATTTATTTCCCTAGAATACAAAGTGAAATATGAGAAAAAGAACTTATGGATTTGCGAATTAAATCCAAAAAATAATCCAAGAATTAAAGACAAGTTCGCGTAATAAAAAGTCCTGAGTAGAACTTTTTCAAGTCCTGAAGAGATTTAAAATTGAAGGCGATGTCTGTTATGGTTTACATCGTACTTATGTCTCAGCAGTCTCTTGTTGAATTCCAGAAATATTATTCCAGGTTTGAAATCGATATAAATTCCAATGAATGTCTTTTTCCAAGAAATTTGTCAGAGCACTTTTGCATTTCCAGAAAAAAATAATCACTTGAACTTAATAATGTGAAGAAAATAAACTCAACTCAAGCTGGATACAACATCATATAACCCAAAGTGCCAGATGTTAAAGCACGACTGGTGAAATCCACAGAAACACAAGATAATATAGTTCTTTGCTTGAGGTCAAGGTCACAATCAGCATTTTCTAAAAACAACCATTACCTAATGAAAAATAACCTACTTGAATGATGTATAATCCTTGTTCATTTAAAACATAATACCCTATAAAATTCACTTTGAAACCTCAAAAACCCTGACCCAAATCATCATGTTTACCTGAGTAATAATTTGGTCATTGAGCTCATACTTATAAAAGATAATGATTATTAGTTGTTTATATCAATGAAATAATTTTAAAAAAGAAGTCAATCAGATCAAATAGTCGGGACATGGTCCAGTAAACAATGTTACATTACAATAACGCGTAATGGAATTAAAAACTAAAAACAGAAAAAAAACCCAATTAAATTAAATATACATAACCTCATATAACAACTTATGTGTGTGCATCTTCGCTACCCAAGGTATCAATTACCTATCTATACATTGGCATATCAAGCAGATACGTCTAAGCTTCGGGTCTTTGAATTTGATTGGATGCGGTGGCAAGCTGATGCATCCAATCAAAATTAGGTTGTTCGAATTTGAACAGTGTTCCTATGTGATCGAGTCAAGTTAAGAACACAACTTGAATGGACTGATAAAAATTTTTTCCCATGGTCGATCAGTGTTTGCACAAATACCTTCCGCTCAAATACACATGTAATGGCTTTTTTCTGGTACATAGTCATACTTTCGATCTTAAACTTACAAAGTATCAATTGCTAAGTCAATTGCATCCACCGTTTTCTGCGAATGGACAACGCACCACGCTATTCGTTAGTTGGCATTAGATACTAAGGGAGGCAACATATACAATCCAATAGATGTCACTAGGACAAAGCTGTTCGATCAGCCATGGCACGTGCCTAGGGCCCACGCGCAGGAGGGGGGGGGGCCAAAAACAAAATTTCGGTGTCGGCTTTGTTAGCAGTTTAGTACTGTATTAACAAATTTAACCAAATGACACACATGCACATGGAAATGCAATGCAATACTCTATATCTGAGACTGAGAGATTGATGCGCTATTCTGGTCACTTATAAGGTTAGAGTTTGTGCCTAAGGCCTCCTTCCCAAACTTCTTAAGACGGCTCTGGATATGGTTATTGGAACCTTAGCTGGTGAAGATGATGTGTGAATGTGGTACAGAAATGTTCTGGAATATACGGATGCAAGGTTAAGAAATGAAGAGGAAAAAAAAAAATACAACAAATGAGCACAAAGCAAAACAAACATCAAACTAATGACTGCCAGGTTAACTTTGGTTGGCATATCATGATATAAGGCAGTAACAATATTTACGGGGCGGCATATCATGGTATAAGGCAGAAACAATATTTACGGGGTGGCATATCATGGTATAAGGCAGAAACAATATTTACGGGGCGGCATATCATGGTATAAGGCAGAAACAATATTTACGGGACGGCATATCATGGTATAAGGCAGAAACAATATTTACGGGGTGGCATATCATGGTATAAGGCAGAAACAATATTTACGGGGCGGCATATCATGGTATAAGGCAGAAACAATATTTACGGGGCGGCATATCATGGTATAAGGCAGAAACAATATTTACGGGGCGGCATATCATGGTATAAGGCAGAAACAATATTTACGGGGCGGCATACCATGATATAAGGCAGTAACAATATTTACGGGGCGGCATACCATGATATAAGGCAGTAACAATATTTACGGGGCGGCATATCATGGTGTAAGGCAGTAACAATATTTACGGGGCGGCATATCATGGTGTAAGGCAGTAACAATATTACGGGGCGGCATATCATGGTGTAAGGCAGTAACAATATTTACGGGGCGGCATATCATGGTGTAAGACAGTAACAATATTTACGAGGCGGCATATCATGGTATAAGGCAGTAACAATATTTACGGGGCGGCATATCATGGTATAAGGCAGTAACAATATTTACGGGGTGGCATATCATGGTGTAAGAGAGTAACAATATTTACGGGGGGGGCATATCATGGTGTAAGGCAGTAACAATATTTACGGGGCGGCATATCATGGTATAAGGCAGTAACAATATTTACGGGGGGGGGCATATCATGGTGTAAGGCAGGAACAATATTTACGTGTACAAGGACACGAGAGTATTTTGAATATGATTCTCCGAAACATATCTTAAATTACAAATCTGTATTTGAAGTTATTTGTAAAAATATCAGTTGCTGGGAAGTATTTCGTATAGATGTGATTATGATTTTTTAACGTAGCTTTAACAATTTTTCAGTCATATTGCTACGATGTCTGCAGTGTTACAGTATATAGTGATGTCTAGCACTGGGGCATCATGCCGCAGGCATGTAGCATGATGTCCCACCCAGTCACATTATCCTGACACTAACATCTTAATGCTGAGCGTCAAGCGAGACATCTGTTAGTACCATTTTTGTAAGTCTTTGGTATGACTCTACCGAGGATCGAACACACGACCTGCCGCATCTGAGGCGGACGCTTTAACCACTAAGCTACCGGAGCGGTTATTTCGTATAGAGACGCGAGATCAAAAATGGAAAATTAAATATGACTACGATGTCGCTAATATTGCACCTATACCGTCAAAGATCGATTTTGCATACTGCTCTATTTTTAGTCAAAAATGAAATCCCAGCTATATATAATGCTTGTTGGCCAGATTTTTATAGTTATATTTAACCTGTGATGTAAGAAGCTATGAAAATCGCTTTGAAAATAGCCAAGTCGTGCAGTGTTCAGGAATGAAGGGGATTCTCGTGTCGATTTGAAATCGATCTTTGACGGTATAGATGCAATATTAGCACAGAAATCAGGTAAGAGAAAACGGTCGTCTATATCGTACTATCATTATACACTATCTCGTTGTTTATAGAAATAAAAGGTAAAATGGGAAAGACTTAAAGAGTATTAACATTATTTTGGAATAACCCTTATGGTGTTTCTCAACTTTCCAATTATTCATCAGATTAATGAAAATTTAAAACCCAACTTATGGAAATTACAGATTTGGTATGGCCATATATAAAGCATATTTACGCTATGTATAGCTAAGTGTATTTCAAACAACTTGAAAACCTATTGGGGATCTAAGCTAAAACACAATTCGGACCATAATATCGCAAAATTGTAAGTTCTTGGTACGAATGATATTTTAAATACTGGCTAACTGGCTAAATTATGACTGAAGACTCATAGGCATCCTTTTCCTAGTGATCATTACATTTGCAAATGCAACAAAAGAAACACAATATATATATATATATATATATATATATATATATATATATATATATATATATATATATATATATATATATATATATATATATATATATATATATATATATATATGTATGTATGTATGTGTGTGTGTGTGTGTGTGTGTGTGTGTGTGTGTGTGTGTGTGTGTGTGTGTGTGTACAACTCAGAAGATCAGATCAAGATTTGGCGTCTGGCTGGATTTATTTTTCTCCTCAAAGAAATCCTTACCCTAAAAATTAATGGTCGGTTCCTAATCAACGTTCAGCAAATGTTTCCGTGCGCTTGTGTAGAGCACAGACTCGGGTTACAAAGATAAGAGTATCGGTGTGGTGCAGAGTGAGAATACTGTACTGATGCAGAAGAGTTAAGTTTGAAGTCAGTCGTGTTCCTAGAGGTATTATCCAATTTTGCACAGTATCCCCACAGGTGCTCGACGCGACCTTGATTTTAAACAAAGAGCAATAACCTGAAATGAAAAAAAAAATCATACCGAGTGACAAAATTTCTTCAGATTACCCCGGTAATCCATTTTGACAAAAGGCCCTATTTTGGAACAGGACGTGTAGGTAATCTGAGGTAATTTTGTCTCTCATTGTGATATTTTTCCTTAAGATTCTTGCTTTTATCTTGCTTTATTCAACATTATGCTCGCGTCGAGCACCTGTCTTTATCCTTACGCTGAACAGCTTGCAAATATATTTGTTGTGAATCTAAATGAAAGAGGTCCAAACCTAAGGTTAACTGCACGTATAACATTAATGGGAGTTTCCTCGACCCTTTCCACCCCATTTGGGATATTTGGACATTTATTGTAATATTATAATTTCATATAGTTAAGTTTTTTTTTTTCATAATAAAGAGTTAACGTGTTTTTGCACAAAGCAAAATTGCCCATGTTTCTTGGGTCACTGACGTTGTCATATTTTCGGTCACTAAGTTGATGATTGGTAAAGTTGTCACGCTACCGAACTTCGGAGTTAAGCAAGTCTTGTTTATAGTCTGGAATCCCATAAATCCAAACCTTTGAAAAGTTTACCGTTTATAGTCTAAAATCCCATAAATCCAAAACTTTTGTAAAGTTTTCTAGAGAGAGAGACATAAAGGTAGTTATCTACAGTTTCGTATTTAGTTTCGTATTTAGCATAGGGTAGAATTTTAAAGAAAAAGAATTTCCCCGGGTTTCCTCTCTATTTATACTGGCTATTTAAAAAAGACTTTGTGTATCTTAGGTATTGTTCAAAGAACCTAATTTCTTTTATTTTGGTGTATTATTGATGGGTGTAATATGTTTTAGAGAGTATACGGCTTGGCCTTACTCCAGATGTGCATCTTTCAAAATGTGTTAGCTCTACTTGCTCATTTTCACTTCCCGAACACAAGAGGTAAATTATATAAAAATAGTCTGGCTAGTATAAAGATAAGATAAGATAAGAATTCTTTATTTCAGACTGCATAGTCCATACATCTAAATTAAAATACTGATATAGAGTAAAACATTGTAAACATAAAAGAATATATATATATATATATATATATATATATATATATACACACATATATATATATGTGTATATATATATATATATATATATATATATATATATATATATATATATATATATATATATATACATACATATACACACACAAACATATACACATACACACATACATATATATACACATGCATACACACATACACCATACATACAATACATATATACATATATATATATACACACACATACACATACACACACACACACACACACACACACACACACACACACATATATATATATATATATATAGAGAGAGAGAGAGAGAGAGAGAGAGAGAGAGAGAGAGAGAGAGAGAGAGAGAGAGAGAGAGCAGATAACTTTTTTTTATTTTAAAAAAATACATTTATGTATTTGGTAATTCATTCATTGCACTTTCAGAAGCTGGTATTGTCTAGTCTAGCAAAATTCATTTCCCCTATTTTAATAGCTGCCAAGCAATGTGTACTTGTACGCAAATTCAGGTAGATTTTTGGAGCACAAGGGAGCAGTCAATAAAGTTAGTAGGGTGCTAAGATCGTTTACAATTTTCAAAAGTACAATATCCAAAGAAATGTCAGCCATATTACACGAAAGTAGCATAGATGTATGCCAAATTTCTCTCAACTGTGCATGTTTTAAATGCAAACGTCACATTACATACATCACTCTCTCAAAAGGACATAATAACTGGCGTGCGCCACCACCAAAAAAAAAAAAAAAAAAAAAGCGCAGATCGAATGCTGAGCCTGGTTCCCGAATTGTTAAGCTGAACACAATGTGTAATTATTATGTACAGATTGACTAGGGAACCAACTAGTATAATACTTGACTAAAGCTCCGTATAACTTGCTATAATTATGTAAGGATCATAGCTACTTAGTCCGGAAATCAGTCTGTGTATTATTGTAGACATGGGTACCAAACTAACAAATTTCATATATTTCCTGTGAGGTTTTATTCCAGAATGCAATGTTTGGATTTTGTAATGAGAGAGGAAAAGACCTGCTTCTACAAACATACGTTTATTCCATAGCATACAAACTAAAACTGACTTGTTAGCCAGACCCACCTCTAGCACCCTTTCTGTCATTCTTACACATAAGACCTCGACTCTGATATTTATGTTTTGGGCGTCAGGCGTAGCACTAAAATATAAATAAAATGCCATACGTCTTACTTGTAAGACTACCTATCTGTTAGCTACGATGTCGTAGACTCAGATTGTTTTGTTGTGGTTGAGGTAGTCCACAAGGTAGGACTAAGGGTACTAATATTAGTACTACCTATCTGTCAGCTGTATCTTAGATCTCTAAGATGACGATTCAGCATTGAGAAAGTGCATATTACTGTATAGCACTTCTTCAAGAACACTACATTTAAATTACTTTATTTAAATGATAAAACTCTTAAAAATTTTTAGTTTTTTTAAAAAAAAAAACCCAACAAATTGAATAGCAGCATTGATTTAAATGTTTTCTGTTCACTAAATAGTACTTTCTTTTCGAAAACGAGTCTACAATTGTCGCTATGTTTTAGACTGGTTCCTAAAACGTTTTAATAGATGAAGTAATTAAAATGGAACCAGTCTAGCTATGTTTAACCTCAAAGATTTTCCGCTTGAAAATATATTTATAGCAACAAGATTGGAAAGTTGTTCGTTACAAAAATAGCAGCTAGAACTCAAGATTATTTTGTTACATGTTTACAGATCTTTAAAAGTTGTTTTTGAAGGTAACCGAAAATTCTTCAGGTAAATACTTCATATTACTATAAATAACTGATGACTTTTTTATTTTTGCTTTTGAAGTTCTTTGCTGAGAGGATGCGTATTTTGTATTGTTCAAAAATCTTTGCATTGAATTGTAGTTGAATCTCTATCTTTAAATTGTCATAAAACTGAAAATGTTCAATATTTTATGCCCCAAAACAAGATATATATTTTTTTATTTAATATATATCACTGGTTTGAACAATATTTTCTTTCAAAGAGCATCTTGATATAAACTATTACGCACAAAAGATTGTAGCTACGATGTCGGGTATAATATTAGTACTAAAAAGATTGTAGCTACGATGTCGGGTATAATATTAGTACTAGAAAGATTGTAACTAGGATGTCGGGTATAATATGTGTACTAAAAAGATTGTAGCTACGATATCGGGTATAATATTAGTACTAAAAAGATTGTAACTACCATGTCGGGTATAATATTAGTACTAAAAAGATTGTAGCTACGATGTCGGGTATAATATTAGTACTAAAAAGATTGTAGCTACGATGTCGGGTATAATATTAGTACTAAAAAGATTGTAGCTACGATGTCGGGTATAATATTAGTACTAAAACGATTGTAACTACCATGTCGGGTATAATATTAGTACTAAAAAGATTGTAGCTACGATGTCGGGTATAATATTAGTACTAAAAAGATTGTAACTACCATGTCGGGTATAATATTAGTACTAAAAAGATTGTAGCTACGATGTCGGGTATAATATTAGTACTAAAAAGATTGTAACTACCATGTCGGGTATAATATTAGTACTAAAAAGATTGTAGCTACGATGTCGGGTATAATATTAGTACTAAAAAGATTGTAGCTACGATGTCGGGTATAATATTAGTACTAAAAAGATTGTAGCTACGATGTCGGGTATAATATTAGTACTAAAAAGATTGTAGCTACGATGTCGGGTATA